CAGTTTCAAAACAGCAATATTTACACAAATTCCACTAGTTTGCAAGTGCTCAACGTACAAGACTTCCATCCAGCTTATTTTTTCGACCTTTCGATTTCTTTCCCTTCTTATTCTTGCCCTTTCCCTTTCCTTGCTTGCCTTCGTAATCATTGAGCTAGTCTGGCTTACTTTATGTTTCGGGAGCAACAGTGACGGGTAAATTTTCCGTGCTGTCTTCACTACTATTTCTGTTAGAAATTTCCTCGTCACAAGATACAACACTTTGATATTTTTCTTTTGTATCATTCTGCACAACAGACCACCTAAGGTATATGTCGAGTTTAGGCCTTCTCGACTCCAAGCTTTTCAACAGTTCTCCAATCATCAAAGTCTCTCTCTCTTCCAAGTCACTGGAGATTATTTAAAAGACACGTCATTCAAGTAAAAGATAAAAATATAACATGCTCCAAATGCAATAACCTTAAAAACATGCTTTTGTCTTGAGAATAAGACTTTTCACACTTCACTTCCTTTTGATAAAACAAGAATAAGACTAAATTTCCAAGATTGCCAAAGCACTCCTAAAGAAGGGGCAATATTTGATACTCAGAGCATAGAGTTATATCGTAATACTAAAAGAGTACGCCATGGTTACAATTCGATTATCAGGAAAGTGAGATAACACACTCAGTAGAGTTTTCAAGATTATCAGCAGTCAAAAGCTCAAGAACACAAGAAATGATTCCTCAATTTTACTTATTGAAACTTGATTGGGCTGGTTACTGCCATTCAGTTTCCAGATTGTTAGCAAATAGGCCCCACAAAGACTAACCTTGTAATCAAAGAAGAAAGCTGCTTCAATTCCTCAATTGCGCTGACAGCTTCACCCAGCATGTTATTATCTTCACCAGCAAGAGATTTCTTATTAGAGAAATTGATCATTTGAGTGGCTAAGATGTCCACTTGTACCTGAAGAAAAAGATAACAATTATTCTAACGATCGGGAACAAGTGCAGAGGTTGCCACAAGATAACCAATATAAAATTACCTTCTTTTCCATTGCAAGGATCTTCAGATTTCCATCTTTCCTATTTTCCCCAGACTTCAATATATCAGATATTTCCCGAAGAACTCCCCAGTTCATCTGCAGTCCATCATTTCCATTCCCTGTACTCAAATTCCGATCCATTTCCAATTCCGCATTCAAATTTGGCAACATAGAAGTCTTGCCATCATTGCCGCTGCTAGCAGGAAGTTCACCGCTAGATTTAATCATATTTGCTTCAACTGAAGTGATTTGTCCATGAGAAGTTTTACTGCTGCTTGTAAATAAAACTTCCATGATGTCTTTTTCACTCCGGGAAACACTCATGTCAAGAATAATGGCATCAGGACAGACAAATTTTGGATTATTTTTTTCTCCCTGGGTGACAATGACAACTGGATCCCCAATTGATTTGAATGCTCTAGCAACTGCATCTAAATTCACATCATCATTCTTCCTTTTCTTTTGAAGAGCTTCATAGAATTCTCTTGGAAGATGGGCTCTGACGTGAGTTAGACTCAGAAGCTCAAAAAGTACATTGGAGTACATTTGAGAGTTAAGACACATCAAGCACAGTATAACAAACAACCTCAACACTAGCACTGAATGGTAATTGTAATTAATACTAGAATACCTAATCCATTGTGCTGTATGTCGACCATTAAAAAGGAACTGCTGGACCATTGTAATAATGGAATCAAAGACATTTATGGGATAGGGTTGCTTGTCAGTGACTAAACTAGCACTTGGGATGCCACGAGACTGTTGATATACTGACCACTCCACAAATGATGATTTTGTGGTGAAGAGGGAAACGTGGTAATGAGATGCCAAAATAACAACGCGCTCCATAAGATACAAATAACAATTAGGGGATATGTAGCTCTTTACCATCCAGTTGGCGCTATAAGTTTCTTGCAAAGCATCGTGGAACTTCTGAATCAGTGAATTTGACTCCGACTCCTTGTTCCCCTTGAGAATCCCAACGAATTCTTTCCAGGACGAGTTTTCGGGGATCTTTTTAGCAATCATCTCACAAAGGTCAATTTTGTGTCTGCCTGACCCAAGCAAAATCATCACAACCTTCCCGATTTGTCCATAGGTCAGTTCACCTTTTGTGCTAATATGTCGAGAGATAACATCTTCGAGTAAATTCTGACACTGTTCGGTTCCTCTTAGATAAATTATATATTCTGATAATGATGCCTGAGAGTCTAAAGGAAAAACAATGTCAAAGTAATTGATTGATATATCAATAAACTTCTTGATAGAAACAATCTTAAAGTCGTGCAATTTGGACTCGGTGAAGAATTTCACTATATCAAAGATGAAGGTCAGGCAGATTCCTTGAGAATATGTAGACAAAGATTTCCTCATATAAGATTTATAAAGGGCTTCAAGAACTCGAAGAACTCCTA